TGGCGCGCAATTTATATCTCGAAGATAGAGCGGGATAGCAACCACTTCTTCCACTCGCATTGTTTCCATCCAGTTTCTGTTCACGTGCTATCGGGATTGGACTTGCGTCTTTGAATATTTCGCGGCGTCACGCTCGTTCATCACGTGGAATCGAGCATTGCTGCGCTGCTTGATCGCGTTCCATCTTCAACAAGGGAGTCTCTCTTTCTCTTTCTCTCTCTCTTTCTCCACTCGTTCTCCGCGTCACGCGTTCGCCGCTCGCACTCGTCGAGACATAATTAAGTGACAACGAGCCGTTTAAAGAGGCTGTAAACATGAAACGCGGCGACCAGCACCCCCTCATTAAGGGAGTTGTATCCTCGTCGTAAATCGGAGGAACTCGCTTCCTAATTAAGGGCACATGTGGACCAAGCCTTGTGAACCCGTGGAGAGGATTTCTTTGGAAACGAAACTGATCATCCCCCCCCTTTCCCCCCTTTCGATTCGGATCTAGGATTCGTTTTCCGCCGGTGATTTATGCGGAGGTGGTTGGGCAAAGGGGGAAATTAAAATGGAAATAAGGAACAAGATGCTTTCAAAGAAAAGATGAGAATAAGGAGTGGAAGATTAAGAACGATTCTGAGTATAATTTTGAAAGTTGTGGATACTTTCAATTTTCTTTTACAATTTTTTAGATTCACCACGAAAGAGTTAAATATCCGCGAGCATTTCTCATCTAATTGGCCAATCATCGGTGTAAATACACGTCGAGTGAATCTTTAAATCGTCGATTCAAAAACTTGGAGCCTTCGATAAATTTCATTCGTGTTTATTGCACACGTACGTACACTCTTCGTCTCGCCATCGTACGCTATCAATATATTACACGTATATAATATTATCGTATAATTGGGAAAACAAGGAGCAGAGCGCATACTTTACATCTCTGAGAGGAGGATGCATCGAGTACGTGTCGTCCAGGTTAGCCTGGTATAGGCCATCGAGCTGGCCACGACAACGGTCTCGTTGGGCGATGCGCACCCCGGGTTCAAGGCCAGCCGTGGGTAGGAGACAGATCGTCGCGGATAAGAACAGCAAGAGAGGTATAACGAGCGCGCACCAGAGGTCCCGTCCGTCTTTTTCGTCCCTCTCTATTCCTCCGCATCGCCTCTTCGCTCTATCGTTTCGCCTCGCCTCGTTCGCTTCTGTTTCTTTTTCCCCCTTTTCCCCCTGCTTCTCTTCGTTTCCTCCCTTTTCCATCAGATGCGTCATCTTCGAGGCGCAAGCTCTCCTCTCCTCTCCTCTCTCTGTACCTCGAGGAGAGAGAGTAGGACGATGATTTACGGTCTCGAGCCTCTTTCCATCTCCTCTCTATACGCGAAGGTCGAGGAGGAGAGCCCAGAGAGACCTTCCCTTCGCCGCCCTACCTGGCCGATCTTTCGAGCTGGTTTCGCCGGAGTATATACGACGCAAGAGGACGACCGGTGCACGCCTTGCCTCTTCCTTCCTTCCTTCCTTCGTTCGCTCGCCTGTCTGCTTGCCTGCTTGCCCGCCTGCCTGCCTGTTCGTGAAAAGTAAACAGCGAGCCGTGGCAACGACTTGCCGTGGTGTTCCAACGCGTCATCGTTGCACCGCCTCCCCTGGCCTCTGGCTAAATAGATAGAGATAGAGCAGACCAGGTAAAACGCTGTTGAAGCTCTCTATCGAGAGAGGTGCTCAGGGACGCAGCTCTTTCTATTCTTCCATATGGCCACCTTGTTAGTGCCTTCTTGGAATTGGGCGCTGTGCCTCATCTGCGAGTGGTTTAAGATGCAATGAAGGGTTGAACGATTTTTTGCGAGGATTTAAGAGGAAGATGAATGGATTATATTTTATTGGAAGGAAGAAACGGAGGAAAAAGTACACGATGAAAGTTTTGATGTTGTGTTTTTGTTAATAAACCGATGATTGGGGTAAGGTTTATTTGGCCTTTGCTATTTTATAAAGTTTTGTTGAAAAATAAATAGGAGATAAGAATTTCTTCCCTTTCAACTTTCTCTTCATGAAGATATTCAAAGGCATTTCAAACGTATTCATCTGTCAAAGATGATTTTGCGAATTTACTATAGCGCTCGGAGAGAATGACTTTGAGATAATTCGAAGAAAGGCGCAGGGGTTCTTGAAAAAATACGCGAAAGTTGCATTGAAGTGGTGAGTCGGCATATGAAATGATTTCTCGAGAAAAGGTGAATAGAAAAGGGGCGAAGAAAAACTAATAAAACGTCACTTCCTTCAACGCTGTTGAAATAATAATCCTCTTTATCCAACGCATCCTTCACGAATGCTATTCATCATTATTCCCACCCTGTACTTCAAAAAATTTAAATTTACACAAACTCTCGTTATTTAAATTCCCCGCGCTTGCTTTCAAGAAAATTCAAGATTTATTCAACATCGATTCGAGTTTACAGGAAGAAACGAAATTTCTAAATTTCAATAAAATTTAAGAAATCTAAGATTTAAAAATCCAAATATAACCTAACGAAATTTATATCTCGTTTAAACCACTTATTATTTAAAAAAGTCCATAAATAAAACACAATGCACGAGCTTCCTTCGCGCAAACCTTCTCAAATATTCACAACAAGAAGACAATTCTCTTTCTTATCTCGATCATCGCGTTCCCATAAACAAATTTCCAACCCATAACGTGATTTCACTCATTCGAGGAAACGAACAATACCCGCAACGATCGACCGTATTCTCCTCCATATTACAACGAATCCTCCTTCTCGAACCCTTTTGCCAAGAGAAAGAGGAAGAGACAGAGAGAGATTCGCAACCACCGATTGGCGGTCGTTGCGGCCCTGTCAGATACCAGCATTGCAAAACGGCGCTCGATAACGTCGATAGCGCACGAGTTACGAGCGCTATATACAACGGGGGTCGTTTGGTGCATCCGCCCCGAAGGAAAGGAGTGACGGCCCCAGCCGGCGCGGAGGAGGAGGAGGAGGAGGAGGAAGCGCGCTCTGAGCGGACACGCATCGGGCGCGTCGTTTCCGCGGGAGGAACGACGGGTCCAATTAACGGGCCCAACGAATCCATAATTCACTCCTAATTAATTAGCGTGTATACACATGTACGCTTGTGTGTGTATGTGTTTGGAGAATACAGAAGACGGAAGGAGAAAAAGAGGAGCAAGAAGGGAGGGAGATGGGGGAATACCGGGGGGAGAGAGAGAGAGAGAGAGAGGGATAGGCGTGACACAGGGCTGTGTAATCCTTTCCTGGCCGCGTTTACTCATGCCCAACGAGGAGACGAGCGAGCTGTAAACTCGCCAGCCAGGACAAAAGCGGCTGCGAACCGCCTCTGTCCTCGTGGCACACCGCGCTGCCATTAACCCCTGGATTATTG